TTTTAAATTTTGGGTCATACCCAACTATGCTCAGGGATCACTCCTGGCCAGGCACACGGAACCACGGATGGGGACAGGGATTGAACCTGAGTTGGCTGTGTGAAAGGCAAGCGCCTGCCTGCTGTACTATCTCTCCAGCTCCCACCCCAGTGCTCTTGGGTTTGAGCCATCCCTCCTATTAGCTGAAAACACACAATGGTTCAGGTCCAAGCTTCTCAGGGGGACATTGGAGGACCCATGTGACCTGGCCCCACCCACCTTTACCTCTCGTTCCTCTGCCCTCTGGGTCTCTCACACAGCTATTGCTTTACCCCTCCCCTACTGCTCTGTGAACCCCAGCCCTGCTCTAGACCCTTTTCCTGGATGTCTTTCTCCTGAGTGTCCAGGTGGGTAAGTTTTACTTTTTCATCAAGGCAAAGCCTGAGTGAAATCTTCCCTAATCAGCCAGGACACCCCCAGTCAAGTGCTTATCATCCAGTACCAAGACTGTTTATTCCGAGGGACTGTCTTAAGCCTTAACCACATTGTTATAACGCGATAAACAGTTGGAGAGATTGCGGGGGGGGGGGGGGGGGGAAGGGGCGAGGGAGAGGATGGAAGAATAGAGAAACGTCAGGCACTGCCGATGAGTCAGATGCTCGACCTCGATGCTTCCTTCCCAAATACACAGGGAACACGCTTGGCTCTGTTAAGCCCATTTTCTTTTCCTTATTTTTGGGGGGAGATGGGGCCTTGGGCCATAACCTGGTGCTGAGAACTTCTCCTAGATCTGTCCTTGGGGGGAGGTAGGGGGCAGGAGGGTGGGGGCGTGTTATTAATTCCAGCAAGAGGTGATCTATGAGGTGCTGAGAATTGCCCCGGGGTTGGGCAGTATGCTGCAAGTGCCTTAACCTTGGTACTATCTCTCTGAGCCTACATTATCCCTATTTTCAAGCCACGAGGCCGAGGAAGGAGGCTTTCAGAGACTTTTCCCAAAGCATGACCATCCTGATGGCAGTTAGGCAGGGCTTCTGTAAAGTTCCGTCCAGACTCTTCCCTGTGGCTGGGGTAGGGCAGAAAGCGGGCGCAGGGGCTGGAGGCGATAGGCAGGGAGTTTGCCTTGCACGCGGCCTGACCCGGTTCAATTCCCAGCATTCCATACGGTCCCCCAAGCACGACCAGGAGTAATTCCTGAGTGCATAAACCAATAAACCAGGAGTAACCCCTGTGCATCGCTGGATGTGACCCAAACAGCAAAAAAAAAAAAAAAAAAAAAAAAAAAAAAAAGGAAGTAAGAAAGAAAGAAAGAAAGTGCAGACAGGGAGAGGGGCCTGTCGCAGGCTCTCTGAAGCTGCTGGCCTGCTCCTTGCTTTCTGCCTGCAGACCCCAGCCTGCCCCATGGAACCGCTGCGTGCTCAGGTCTGCTGACTCGCCCTGATTTCCAGGGTGCCATCCTCAGACGTCAGTCCCCAGTTGGAACTTGGAAACCTGAGGCCTCGACAACACCCCTGGCCAGGGCTGCTGCCCACCGGAGGTTTGGGGAGGGAGAAGTGTGTCCTTTCCCACCTCTGTCATTGGCCTGCCCTGCAGCACACACACTGGGCTCTTGTACAGCCAGGAAACAGCCCTGGAAAGTCATCCCATGCCCGCCCTGAGTGGCTCCATGGAAGGATCTGGCAAACTTTGCAGTGCTCTGTGAGCTTATACCAGCAGTGTGGACCTTTTATGGGGCAAGGGGCTCACTTAAAGGGGACTGCGGCCTGCCAACTCCTTTCCCCTCCTGAAGGCCTGCAAGTTCTTTTGGGGACTCCTGGTTCCTGCTGCAAGGCCTGGGGATCAACCCAGTCTTGGGAAGGAGGAAGCAAGGCCTAAAGAATCACCCTGACCTAGGAGGGAGCCACCAGCACTGGAGGTGCCTGTGGGGTTCACCTGCCAGCACTGCCACCCCTCTCTGATTCCGGCTCAGGACCCAGCACCCTTGCCCTGCCTGCTTCCTGGTGATGGAATCTTAGTGCTCCCACAGCCTCCGGCAACCCATACCCCATTCCAGTTCCCCTGAACTGGCTATCTGCAGTCTGGGATGTAGACAGTGAAGAATTAAGGCAGATGTACTGGCAAAATGCAACTGAACTCCTAGACTGAGTCACAACTCTGCAGCTTATCAGAGGGTGTGGGGCAAATGTATAAAGGGTTTCTGGGTGTGGGGCGTGACTGTGATGAGTCTTATACATGGATAGCGACAGAGAGCCAACTCCCTGTTCATTCATTATACTCCTACAAGTCAATGATTAAATCACTGGAAGGAGAGGGGAGGGAGGAATGGAGGAGGGAGTGAAGGAGGAAGGAAAGCAAGGAGGGATAAAGGGAGGGGAGAAAGGAAGGAAAAGGATGAAGGAAGGAGGGAGGGAGGAAAGAAGGTGGAGGAGGCTAAAAGGATCATCTGTCAGGGGCTGACCACCACTCTAAGGGTTGCGCCTGGGAAGTTGGGCTTGCCAAGCAACTGCCCAGGTAGGAGAAAAGTCCCTGGTAGTAGGGGATCCGGGGGCTGGAGTGATAGCACAGCGAGTAGGGCGAGTAGGGCGTTCGTCTTACACGCGGGCGACCCGGGCTCGATTCCCAGCATCCCATATGGTCCTCCAAGCACCACCAGGAGTAATTCCTGAGTGCATGAGCCAGGAGTAATCATTGTGCAACACCGGGTGACCCAAAAAGCAAAAAAAAAAAAAAAAAAAAAAAAAAGAAGGGGATCCAGGGCTTTTGAATCTGAACCCTTTTCCTATGACCAGCCTCACAGTGTGGGTCTGGGGAATTGGGAGATCAGGACTGTGGGCTTAGAGGGGTGGGGGTGGAATGGGAGTGGGGGACGGTGGAGAGCTGCAGTGATGCCAGCTAGTCTGACAGGAGTAGGGAGCCCGGGAGTGTGTGCATGGCCAGGCTCGCCACTAGATGGCACTCAAAGAATAACCTTCCCCCCCAGTATTCACCATTCTAGGTGCAAAATTTATGCATTTCAAAACAACTGTTAAAGTGCATGAAGAATGAAGAAAGCCGCGGTTTAAAATTCATACACTTGAGGGCTAGAGCAATAGCTTGGCGGGTAGGGCACTTGCCTTGCACGTAGCCGACCTGGGTTCCATCCCTTATGCCCCACCCATATGGTCCCTAGAGCCCCACCAGGAATAAGCCCTGAGTACAGCAGAGTCAGGAGTAATCCCCGAGCACCACTGGGTGTGGCCCCACACCAAAACAAACCAAAAAATCATAATTCAAATTGGTCTTGTCCACGACCATTTTTCAAGAGTTGACACCCTTGGCACTTCTAGGATACTCAGTGTGGTAGAGCGTGCCCCTCTAACCCGACCTGCCCCAAGCACCAACTGGCCCCTGCCCTCAGGCCTGTGCAGGGCGGTACTAAAGTTTCTCAGCCTTAGCGGGAGGTTTTGCTCATTGGGTGAGGTAGCTAAATGCCCTCCAAAGATGCCTACGCTCTCCTCTCAGAACCTGAGAGCGTGTTAACTTGCAAACGGGGCTTCTTCCTCCCAGACCCAAAGAAACGCATGTCCGTCACTGTGTGCCCGATGAAGCATCTCCCCAACTGCTCCTTGAGGCACAGACTCGAGATTTCGAATTCACAGTGCTGTACACCCCATCTTCCAGCCCTGACTGCTCCTCACTGCACCCCAACTCCCACACCCAGAGCCCCTGGCACTTCTGCAGCGTTTCCCTCTGCACCCCAACACCCTCGTATCCAGATGGCAGGTCTCCTTCCTTCCCCATCTGCAGAAGTCAAAACCCCCGTCTCCTAGTCAGGCCAGCCTCTACTTCCCCCTGCATCCTGAGATGCCTCTGTTGCTCCCTTCTACTGAGCAAATGTGCACTTACCAAGATTCCTAAGGAGACGAATGAACTGCCCAAGTAGGGAACACACAGAAGAAACGGCATTGGGGTAAGGGGAGAAGGCTGAAACTAGAGTCTTGCATATAGGCGGGCAACGGGAAGGGTCTTGTGTCCCTCCCACATTCCCAGGATGACCAGGCTCCCACAGTCTCCAGAAGGGCCCGCTGGACCTGGGCTCTGTTTGGGGAGTGGCGTGGTCACTGCAGATGCCCACCCAGCCACAGCACACCCTGGCTGGCTCTGTTCTTTCTGCCAAATTTTTGGGGAATATTCTCTTGAATAAGCAACCAGTGCCTGGTTTCAGTCTCTGCCTCTGGGGAGAGAAGAGAAAAACAGCCCCTGACTCCAGCCAGCCCTTCCGCAAAGACTCACCTGCAAGATACATCCACTGCGTCCCACACTTTGGACTTGGAGGCTCAGAACCACAACTCTCGTGTCGCTGCTAACATGATTGTGCTTCCTTGGTTTATCGGGGGTCCTTTCCTCCCTGCCTTGCCCGCTCTCCCTGCCCCATATTACACACACACACACACACACACACACACACACACACACACACACAGAGGGGCGGGTGGGGGAGAAATCCTATTTTGGAATTCATGCTGATGTTGATTTAAATGCCCACATGGCAAAGCCTGGCAAGTTCCCTGCGATGTATTCAATATGCCAAACACAGTAACAAGTCTCAAAATGGAGATGTTACTGGGCCCGCTCGAGCAAATCCATGAACAATGGGAGGACAATGACAGTGACAGTGACAGTTGATTTAAATGCTCTGAATCTGATTTAGCTTCTTCTCTCTGGGCTTATTTGCATTGGACCTCGCTTTATGTTGATTGGGTTCTTCGCAGGTGCTCTCTGTGAATCAGCCATCCATAGGCGCTTCTTACATAGAAAGCTGACCCTGACAGTTGAGGCTATTTTCTAACTTTCCCTCCAACTTTCAGTCACCTGGAGGTCTGGTCACGTTCGAGCTGTGCTTGGAGACCAGGCTGCTGCTGCTGTCATGGGACAGACCATGAAAGACGCCTCCCTTTCCAGGCAGAGGAATGGGAACACTGCTGGAAGGGTGGGGGGTCCCGGGGGGCCAGTTCAGCACAGAGCCATCACGTGCTCACACTTACCTGGGCTGATCTCGAACAGGTGCTTCCCTGGGTCCTCGGGGCCAGGAACAAGCTCGGTCACTTGGGTCCCTTGTAGAGAAATAAATCCCTGGAATGGATGGAAACACACGCGTGAGAGGGGCAGGAAAAGCCTCCTGTGGTCCAGACTCCTGGGGTGATACCAGTGGTGGGTGGGCGCCCATGCTACGGCCCCCTACAGCAGAGACCAGGCACAGCTAAGCCCTGGCCGGGGCTACCGCCTGCCATGTGGCTGCAGGATCCCTGCCCACAAGCAGTGCCAGGAACCCCTGGAGCTAGCATCCCTTCTGGAGGTGCCAGCTGGGACTGGGCAGGAAGCCTCCCAGTGTTCAGGTGCTCCCTGGTCCAAAGCTGCTTTTCTGGTGCAGGAGTTTCAGAGCATTAGGGGAGAAGGCTGACAAATCAGGTGCCTGGACTGGCATTTTCTTTATAACTGTCCGGAGGCGGGCAGAGAGGAAGGAGGAACTCATCTGTGGGGGAAATTTTTGTTGTTGTTTTTTGGTCACACCCAGCAATACTCAGGGGTTACTCTTTTTTTTTTTTGGCTCTTTGGGTCACACCTGGCGATGCACCAGGGTTACTCCTGGCTCTGCACTCAGAAATTACCCCTGGTGGTGCTCAGGGGACCATATGGGATGCTGGGAATTGAACCCTGGTTGGCCTCGTGCAAGGGAAACCCCCTACCTGCTGTGCTATTGCTCCGGCCCCTCAGGGGTTACTCTTGGCTTGGCACTCAGGAAATACTCCTGGCAGTGCTCAGGGGGACCATATAAGATGTCAGGGATCGAACTCGGGCTGGTGGCATGCAAGGCAAACACTACCTTGTGTAATATCACTCCAGCTCTCATTTTGTTCCTTTGAAAACAACTGTTATGGGGCTGGAGTGATAGCACAATGGGTGGGGCGTTTGCCCGGCATGTGGCTGACTCGGGTTCCCATATGGTCCCCCGAGCACTGCCAGGAGTAATTCTTGAGTGCATAGCCAGAGTAACCCCTATGCATCGCTGGGTGTGATCCCTCAAAAAAACTGTTATGGGGGGGCGCTAATCCAAGTGATGCTCAGGGGCGACCAGGGCCAAATGGGACATGGGGTATGAGAGTCGCACCTGGACATCACACCCCCTGGACATGTGCTCACCACTGAGAGCACATTCCAGCCCTGAGGTTTCCTCACTTTACCTGCTAAGTGGGAGGGAGTCAGCTGCCATGTGGGCAGTCCCCAGCGTGGGTCCTGCTGTGCACAGCTTGTAACTGATGCAGGAAGAGAATATGGGACATAGGGGCATGTGGGCTGAGTTTCATGGGTGTGTGACCTCCTGAAAACAAATCACTTAATTTCTCGGATCCTCACTTTTCCCCATCTGTACAATGGATCAGTGACTTTTTCTTCTCAGGGTCTTCTGTACCAAGATGTCACATTTTAGATGCTTTTAGGTGAGGGCTTCTTAAACATTTCTCACTAGTGACCTTGTTAGTTTTACCTGAGAAATTTTCATACTACCCTGGTTATATATATATGCCAAACACAGTAACAACAAGTCTCACGATGGAGATGTTACTGGGCCCGCTTGAGTAAATCAATGAACAACAGGAGGATAGTGCTACACACACACACACACACACACACACACACACACACACATACACAAAGCTATATATAAAAGACTTCTGGTTCATGCGCTCCGGAATTACTCCTGGTGATGCTCGGGGGACCATATGGGATGCTGGGAATCGAACCCGGGTCGGCTGTGTGCAAGGCAAATGCCCTACCCTCTGTGCTATCGTTCCAGCTCCCTACACACAAAGAAATTTATTTTAAAACATTTAAAAGTTACGCCAGATGGGGTAGTGACCCGTAGCTTAAGGAGCAAGGCTCTGGATGAGAAGGTATTATCCCCCTGGCCTCTCCCTCCATCCTAGGCAGGGCTGACTCTGCCCCCTTCTCTGTTATTCATCTCTGCTGAGGCCTTTCCTCACTGCCTTATGCTCCTATTTGCTTTAAACTCAAATCCTGCGTGGCTCTGACCACAGGTTTTGGGTTCTGTCTGAGGGAAATGCATTTTTTTATTGAATCACTGTGAGATAGTTATAAAGTGTTTATGTTTGAGTTTCAAGCATTCGTTGATCAAACACCCATCCCTCCACCAGTGCACATTCTCCACCACCAATGTCCCCAGTATAGCCCCCTTTCCAACCCTCCCCCTGCCTCTATGGCAAACAATTTCCCCCATACTCTCTCTACTTTTGGGCATTATGGTTTGCAATACAGATACTGAGAGGTTATCACGTTTGGTCCTTTATCTTTCAGCACACATCTCCCACCCCGAACGATTCCTCCAACTATCATTGTCTTATAATGATCCCTTCTCTATTCCAGCTGCCTTCTCCCCCAGCTCATCAGACAGGCTTCCAACTATGGAACAATCTTCCTGGTCCTTGCTTCTACTGTCTTTGGGTGTTAGTCTCATATTATGTTATTTTATATTCCACAAATGAGTGCAGTCCTTCTATGTCTGTCCCTCTCTCTCTGACTCATTTCACTTAGCATGATACTCTCCATGTCCATCCACTTATACACAAATTTCATGACTTCATCTCTTCTAACAGTTGCACAGTATTCCATTGTGTAGATGTACCAAAGTTTCTTTAACCAGTTGTCTGTTCTCAGGGCTCAAATCCTGGCTCAGCTTGTTTGAAAGTGTGACCACATGCAAGTTGCTTAACTTCTCTGTGCTAACTCCTGAATATTCTTATCTGTGAGACAGGAGTAGTACCACAACTTTGCTGGGCTAGTGGGATGATATTTTTACGACTGAGAGTCCTTACAGCAGTGCCCAGCAAACAGAAAAAGCGGCGTGTTGCTAAGTCAATCACAGCTTGGACTGTGGGTGATGGGACAGACCCTCTGTACCTGCACCTGCCCATGTGAGGTGCAAGATCACGGGCTTTATCCGTGTCCCTCCAGCCCTCCCTTCCCCCCTCAGAACTTCTCCCCAACTCCCTCTTCTTGCTTCATTTCCTCCAGGGACCCTGGAGCCTCCCCGTGGCTGCTGGAGTCTGGGGCTGCCAGGACCCAGGGCAATGCCGCCTCTCTTGAAGCACGAAAAGACAGAAGAATGTCTTGACTCCCCAGATATTTGCTTTGGAGAAATTGTAGCAATAAACTAGAGAACCACCTGGTAATCACTATAACCAAATTAACGGTTACTTTCTTGCTAAGGAACCTGGGCCGACTGGGAATAAATTAGGACCGCTCAGCCCCAGGATTGGGAACTGTGCTCATTAGAGGGTGTAATGGGGATCCATCACTGGCTAAAAGGATGCCTTTCTGGTGTTTGCTGTTTCAGTAACTCTCTCTGTTGTTCTCAGCACTTTACATGTTTCCCTCTCTATAACTTTGTATCTGTCTTCAATACAACAGGAGTAGAACTACTGTCACTGGCCTTTCTTTCTCATCCAGCTAAGTGGAAAAGCAAGTATAGTCACTATTAATGGAATTGTACTTCAGTCTTAGTTATTTTTCTAAATAATTGGTGCAAGTCTTCCTAAAGACTCGGTGGGGGGGGGTAGGTGCTATTATTTCCATTTTATTGCACAAGCAATAAATCAGAGAGCTGGAGCAAACAGCTCCCGTGCAAGCAAGGAAGACCTGGGATGGCACCCAGGTACCCAACGCTGGTGCATTTTGTCTCCCCACATCTGTGAGAGTAGGACTGGGTGACCAATGACCATCAGGGAGAGCTTCTGAGATCCAGCAACCAACTCTTAACCAGATGAATCTTAGCCCTGGCCCCCCATTACCACAAAAGACCCTCAGAACTGGCTTCTGAGTACCAGGATCCTTCCTACCAAGGGTTGAGAATGTAGCTTTGATGCCTGCACTGGGGTACTGGGGAGGTAAGTGATAGTGGCCAGGTTGCTGCAACTTGGACCAGAGGGCATCTACTTTCATTTTCCTGCAATGCTGTAAATTAAGTGTATAATGCGGAGCCTGCAATGAAAGACAATTCTGCGTGAGGTCTCTTACTTCAGTGGGCATTGGAATGCTCCCAGGCCTGGTTAAAACAAAAACACTAAGTCCAGTTGTGTCATGGTGCATGTATGCATATAAGCTCTCTGAATACAAGGTTATCTGATTTGTAGTGTTGGCCAATTTCTATGATATAAATAAGCACCTTCTTCCTCTGGATGATTTCTTGATGCCATCAAACATGGGTCTGGGAAGATAAACACCCTAGAGATTCCACATACAGATAAAGTGGAGGTCAAATATGCACACCTACCCTCATCACAATATTAGTTACTATAGCCAAGACCTGGAAAAAATGATGGATGGGTGGATAAAGAAACTGTGATACATAGACACAGTGGAGTACTACACAGCTATGAGCAAAGGTGGAATCTTGCAGTCTGCTGCAACTTGGATGGAATTGGAAAAGATCATGCTACGTGAAATGAATCAGAAAGGTAAAGACATTACCCGATGCTTGCCCTCATATGCAGTGTATAAAAAATAAATAAAAGCAAGGGATAAGACAATCCCTAATGGAAATATCCTAGCTGTGGCTATAGAACTGAAGATGCTGAGGGGAAGGCATAGAGGAAGGGACCTTGGGATAATGCTGGAAGGAATCTTGGCACTTTGGAATAGCAGCATAGCAAGCATAAAAGAATTGTAAACTATGATACTATAGTAAAAAAATTAATACTAGAGGCCAATAACCTCAAGAGCTTGGGCAACTGTTGGTGAAGCCAAACAATAGGGAGTTTGCAAACTAATTTTCTTTGTGTTTAATATGACATTCAATTATAGTTTGGATGGCTTAATATCTAATAACAGAAGTGTTTAATAACCAGCCAGCATGCATAGTACTGATGGCCTCATCCTGAAGTTTCTGAATCTTTAGGTCTATGGAAAGGAGGAACATTTGCATTTTTTCTTTTGGCAGGGATTAGGGGAGCTAATTAGGGTCATGCTTGGCAGTGTTTTAGGGCTATTCCTGGTTTTGTGCTCAGGGATCACTCATGGTGGTACTCAGGTGACCATATGTTATACTTGGGCTTAGGCCG